GTGTGAAAAATCATAAAATCGGTAAGTACAAATTTTAATATCCTGTCTAATTTGTACTGTGAACAGAATTTAAGATTGGGAGCAAGCTAACAACAGAAAAAACACAATCTACACACATATGTCCACACATTTTGTTTTTCAGCCATCTTTCTGGAATTTTCTGCGAATTTACGCTGGAATTGACTGTGCGCTTCATTTTTCTACACAAAGAGGAGTATAATTATTAGAAATGCCATTTAGACGTAAAAGCAGGAAATATATATGCGAATCGAAGCAAATAAATGTACAGATAGTATTAATATTAGTGAAGAACAGGCAGCTGATTTTAGTATTCCCACACCTTGTAGAGATTTTCCTAATTTGTCCGATGTTTTAGTTAAGAGTTCCGAACCAACTTGTTTTAGTACGCGCTTAGGGCAGTGGATGTCCGAAAAAAGTATTAGCAAAAGACCAGGTAATGATTTGCTTCAGCTTTTGTCCGAAAAAAATCCAGGGTTGCCACGAGATGTTCGAGCATTGAAATGCACGCCTCGGGGGGTTATTAAAAGGGATGTGGCTCCGGGAAGCTATGTGCACTACGGTGTAAAAGATGCGCTAGCTGATTTTCTCAGTAATTTTGCATTTCAAGCAGATAACCTAAGCCTCAATATCAATGTGGATGGACTTCCATTATTTAAAAGTTCACTTAAACAAGCCTGGCCTATTTTAATTAATGTAAATGGCACTAAGCCAATTCTTGTAGCTGGGATATATGTTGGCAATTCCAAGCCCAGCAATCCCAATATTTAGTTAGAAGAATTCGTGTGCGAGGTATTAGAATTGATTGAGGATGGGATACATTTTAAAGGTAGAAAACTTCACATTAGAATTAGATCCATTGTTTGCGATGCACCAGCGCGCGCATATATTTTAGGTGTTAAGCATCACTCTGGATTTTATTCCTGCAACAAATGCACTCAAAGGGGAGAAAGTTTTCAAAGGCGAATAGTTTTCAAAATTTCTGAGAACCTCTCTCGAACAGATTTTAGCTTTAGAAATCGTTTACAGCCAGAGCATCACAACTTACAGGAGAAATTAGTTTTAGAAAACTTGCCAATTGATATGGTCAATCAGTTTCCCTTCGATTATAATCGAATATAATTATATGCATGTAGTTTGCCTTGGTATTGTGAAAACCCTACTAGTGGCTTCAGTGAGAGTTAAAGGTCATCAATTTTCTTTGGATCGGCATAAAATCAGCTCAATTAGTTCCAAATTGATTTCTTTTCGTAAATTTATACCTAGGGAATTTAATAGAAAGCCGAGATCTCTTGATGATCTTGAAAGATTCAAGGCGACAGAATTCCGAACATTTTTGCTCTATACTGGACCCATTGTGTTGAAACAAACTCTAGACACAGCCCGTTACCAACATTTTTTATTACTTAGCCTTGGTATACGACTTCTTCTTCACAAAGAATATTGTGTAACTAAAAATGCACTTGCTTGCAGTTTACTTGATTTTGTAAAACAAATTCCCTCCTTATACATATTTTCCATGCTTACATTCAATTTTCATTGCCTAACGCATTTAAGCGCACAGTGTCTTGCCTTCGGCTCTTTAGACACCATAAGTTCTTTTCCATTTGAAAATTTTCTAGGTCAGTTAAAAAATATGGTAAAAAATTCCGATTTTGTAATAGAGCAATTGTATAATCGTATTGTAGAGCGAAGTATTTTGAAAGTTGTGCCTAAAACGAAATCCTTGGATTTTAAAAACGTCACAAAGAAAATTTCCCACAATGATCTATTTTTTGATTTAAAAGTATCAAACAGTTTTTACTTTATTAAAGATAGGACTTCATACAACATTTATAAAATTTGTGACATTAAAAATAATACTTTGCATAGCCGATTAGTTGTTGATCTTGAACCTTTTTTTGTTTACCCAATAGACTCCACACTTGTCGGCATATTTTCTTCACTGAATATTAATTACGACTGTAATTTAGTGCAGCATCCAATAGAAACAATTTCAGGAAAAATCATTCATATATTTGATACTGATGTGCACATTTACTTTCCATTAATTCATTAATTCCAGAAAGACATGAACAACTACACCACTTTATTTAATATGGATTCTGGCAGTGTCGCCAGTATCGAAAATATTCCAGAGACCCAGCAGCAATGTAAGCAAATCCATTTATATTGAATAAATAAATATTAACCATTATTTCTATTTATAGGTACAAGGAATAAATTAGAGCAAAAAATGGACCTAATAATACAAAAATTAGACAGAAACACAACGGAACTGGTCGCTCTTCGCACGGAAATGTCCTCCATAAAGGCAAAGGTTTTTGGAGTTATCCAAAAAACTAAAGAGACCATGCCCAATGAGCCCTTAAGTTCAATAGGTGAACTGGAGAGCTTTGAAGAAAGTTTAAAGGAAGAAACAGTGTTTAAAAAGCTGGTAAGTATTTTTTTTTTGCAGCTCACAAGTTACATTTGACTAACATATTTTGTAAAGATCTTAGACCTAGGCATGTCGAGCGAGAAAGCCTTTGATAAATGGATTAGGAGCACTTGGCGCTCGATTGTGTCGGACGAGGTCGCACGTCAGTGCTCTTGGCGTGGAACAGATGCCAAAAAGTGCATAAGGGGCTTGCGTGTGACCCTAGCAATCCGTAGTAAGTTTTGTTTCAAAATTAATATTTATATTACAACATAATAACATCCAATTTGTTTCTTACAGTGGGATTTAAAGAAAGGTTTGCACTTGAGGATGCCGATTTTGATAGGGTGACTCAAAAATGCTTTCAATACGCACAGGATCGAGTTTCAAAGACTCAAAAGCTAATGAAAATTTAGATTAAAGTTTTTCTTTTTAGGTATTAAATTTTTTTCATATTGAAATATCCCCAGAACCGAGTGTTTAATTTTTACTTTTAAGTTTTTTCATATTGAAATATTAATATTAAATATTTTCAATTTCTTTTTGTTCAATATATATCATCATATATATCAAATATATGCGTATTGAAATACGCTCATATATTGTTATTTTCTTTATGTTCAATATTGGCAAATAAACACCAAGAACTGAAAAAAACAAAAACATTTTTATTATCGGAACAAAATGGAATGAAACGTTTTAAGCTATCGCAGAAGGTATAATTTGCGGACTTTTTATGATATCTTTTACGATCCAGTTCTAATATGAAAAACGAGTCAAAAATAATATTATTTTTAATTTACTTTTAATATTACTAGTGGGCTACTTTTAAGATTACTTTCGGCTCGATAATGATATTAAAAACGTATCGTAAATGATAGCATAAAAGGCTCGCAAAAGATATTATAAAAGGTCCGCAAACGATACCTTCTTCGAGCTACCGAAAACGAAACTTTCACTGCCACAAAGTGAGCGACTAGTGATTCATTTTATTTCATTTCATTCGTTTTTGGATCTAAATTCGATAGTTTTACCCGCTTGAGTTTCGCGTAACTCACGTTTGCGATATCGTTTACGAAGTTTTGGTCCACTGGGTACATACATATCCCTAAACCAAGACAATACAATAATAAGATGCGTAACGCTCATTTTAATTGCCATAATTGGCATATGTGAGTACACACAGAACCAGCTAGTGCGTATGTGTGCGTACTTGTGCGAAGCCGACGATTTTCGAAACGAAAACCGTTTTATGAATTGAGACACGAATTTATTTACAGTCGTTGCTTCTTTTTCACACGTCGCACGCTGAATACCCTAATGACAATTATTCCATGTGAAGTCATATTTTAAATATATTATGTATTTATATATATATGTATATCCGCATGTCGAATATACCATGTTAAAAGAAATTATCAACTAAGGGACATTCAATATAAGAGTTTTTATTTAATATTGGGGTGGTAAGCGTCTTGCAAAATTAACTTAAGCTTATTAAGTGAAGGGTATATTTCGCCAGCCCTGTAAAAAACGTATGCATGCTGGCAGATCTAGATTGCTTAAGAATACGTGTGCACACATGCAGTCGTCGCGACGACTCGGCTCGGCTGCCGCAGCGGCAGAGAACCAAATTCGTGTTCCTTCGTATGCTGTATGCATAGAAGAGAGCGAGTGAGCCTGGAGCCAGCTCTAGAGCCAGCCTGAAAAAATCGTGTGCCAAAATTTCGTATGGTGTTATGAATCTTGTTATATTGTCTTTGCCTAAACTGTAGGGGTTTCAGTTCTATTACATTTACATATGTATGTACATTTTACCAATTTCGTGGCAATATTTATTTTGCACGTATGTATGCACGCTCATTTATCGCATTTATCATTTTAAATGTTTGTTTTTACTATGGATAACTAAATATGGGTAAACTAGCCGTTATCTGGACACAGGCCGAATAATTTGTCGATCTGAGTACTGAAAATGTGATATTTGATTGCCCTCTGAATGAAATTTAAAAATGTTACTACCTTACAATGACCGATGCAAGCAAACATACATAATTGGATACTGTTCTTTCTCAATAGTAATACTTGTGCCCGAACTTATTGAGTTCACTGCAAGTACACAAACACGTACACATAGTTTCTAATGAATATTCTACGGCAGCTAAATATTATTTTCGATTTAGTTGGAACCTTGATATTATCCATTTATATAAAACCAAGAAATATTTACATATTTATTTACAATGCACAAACATATTATTTTGTTGTGATATAGCCACGTCTTTACATACATATGCATATCATATCTGTTACAAACCTACACATGGACATTTTTTCTGGAATTATGTAAGTTTTTTGCTTAAGTCTTTTGATCAAGAACTTTTTAATTATATATACATGTATCTTAAATAAACCCTGCTATTATATTTTGTGTAGGGACCTATGAGGGCCTGTTTATTAACCAAGAATATGCACGTATCAATATATAGTGTAAAACTTGTTTTTGCGCATAATGCACGTCCATAGTAAAGTTGAAAAAATAGAATACGTGGGAAATACATACATATGTATATACTCAATTATACATTAATATGTATATTTATCACTACTTTATCATTGAACAGTAAAAATCACCTTCAGGTGAAAAAACATTGAAACATTCAACTATGTTACAAGTCAAAATTGTAACTGAATTCATGACTGTGGTGTTGCAAAGTTTTTTATGTTTATATGGTATGAGGAAAATGGTGTTTGAAACCATGGTATTCCCGTTGGTGTTTTATCGCTGATTTTATTCAGGCCGTATATATTAGTTGTAATAGCCTTTTCCCACACAGCACATCTATGAGGAACGGTAGGAATTTTTTACAGATTTGAAACTCCAATTCCCACTGGCACCATCCACCATTCCCCATCCATGAAAAACAGCTGATGTACACAATTCGGTGAGTCGGAAAATTTGTTTACTGTTATAATTTAAATGAATATTCATAATATTGCAATGGTTGTTAATGTGATTCAGTACAAAAATGTATTCTTACACAAACAAATCATGTTTCTGGACATGGATGATGAGGAAAACATTGACGAGAAGATTTTAGAATTGATATCTGTTTTGAAAATGTTGAATATGTAAACTAAAACAACGCACTGTGTCTTCTCTATTTTTCCTTTCTGTTATGCATTATCCAGCATAAGTAAATATGTATGTATGAGTCGCAATGAAGCGGCGTTTTCTCGTCTCCCTTTTCTCCCTTTTTGATTTGTATTCCGTCTGCCTTTGTCGGACATCTTTTTGCCCTTCATATTAAGTCACAAATAAATACCACAACGAATAGAAAACACTGAAGAATTTTCGTTTGTGACTACTTCTACTAAATTCAATCAATGTTTTAAATAAAAATACATATGCTATATTTTTTTAGAAGCGGTTCGGGACATTTTGGAGGAATGATGTACCCGAAAACGAGGCGTGTTTTAAAAAACGTTGTGTATAGTACGTAACAGTCGAAGAGTGAGAGTCGCAGAGCATTCATAAACGAATTTTCGGAGGAATACATGTCCACAAGCCATCTCAATTCTGAATTTTTGTGGCTGAGACAATTTTGACATATCAGTTGTTTTCTTGTTGTTTTTTTCACCATTTTCCTGTTTGTCATTGTTTACATTTTAGTTGTTAATGTCACATATTTATGGTTGCATTGGAAAATTATCGAACAATTATCGCATAGAATAAGGAACATCCCAGATGGATGGTGGAATAACTGGTTAATTTTCGGAACGGAAAAACCTTACGGACCACCCCTTAAATGGTTGGTGGATGGTCGCATGTGGTATAAGGCTATTACGAAGAGTCACTTATTAATTATTTTAAATTGATTGAGTAAGCAGTGCAGCAATAGATGAAATTTCAATCAAAAATTTTTAGATCTGTCTTAAATTATATCACTTTCACAGTGTGAACAGCAAAGCAAAAAAATAAAATATCCTTGCTTCTTTTGCTCCCCATACGTACACAAATATACTCAAAAGCAGCAACAAACAAAAATAGAATTCATTCTAATGAATTCGGACACAGTCCTCACTCTCACTCATTCAATTCGTGCCCTGTCGCTGCAATGTTGTGTGTATGCGTTTTACGTCAGCGCACTCACTCACTAAAACTCTGTTGGCATAGCATTCGAATTCACTCAGTTAATTTTGAGCATTGTTAATTCGACTGTTTTTTATAATTCATGCAGATCTCTATATCACACTATGCGCGTCTGCTATCAATATCGCAATAGACGCAAAGAAAAGACGCAGAATAGGCGTTTACATTGGCAGACGCACGTCTGAGAGCAGCTAATGAAAACAACACACATTTTGTAGATCAAATCAATTATAAATAAAAAACACGAGAAACTAACAGAAACACACCTGTCTGCGGTACAGCAAAATAAAGAGGTTGTTTTAAAATGCATGGAAGTGGCGGGCTTGTCTGCAGCCAAGTTAAAATTGATCCTAGAACTGCAACGTCCAAAAGCGTTTGGAGTCTACTTTGGACTCTATGGTACTCCAAATTGAAATTGAAAGATGTTGTCGAAAGCTCCGACGCGTTTTTTAAAGATGACTTCCGTATAGAAAGGAGTGCTTTCAATATTCTGGTTGGAATGCTAACCAATCTCCGAAAGAAAGACACCAATTTTCGGTAGCGGTAGCACTATATTTCCTGGGATCCTCTGCGGAGTATCGCACGATAGAGAATTCAAATCCATTTGGTTGTAGTATTTTAATGGAATTTTTTCGTCAAATTGCTGAACTTGCTGATGAATATATAAGTTTTTTACTTTCATAGTTGCAGTTTCACATACATAGGGTGACCCGGTCGAGCTCATGACTCGAAATGTTTTTTAAAAATCCAGCCTAAAAAGAAAACTGGTTGACTCGATGAGAATTAATCTTAGAAGATTCTGCACTTCGATTTTCCAAAACGGTAATGAAACCCTATCCATTATCCGTTGAATCTACTCCAGAACATTAGGCGTTTAATTACAACTTGTCACAGGTTAGACGTGTAGTGGAAAATGCTTTCGGCCACCTCAAGCCTCGGTATCGGAGAATAGAAAAGGGACTAGACAAAAACGGTAAAAACACTACAAAGATAATTATCTGCTGCTGCATGCTTTAAAATTTCTGCTCCACCCATAATTGCGAAGTCGCTGACAGAACAACCTGAGCATGAAGGTTGGCTGGGAAACTCGAACACACGGGCTGAAGCTATAAGGAGCGCTCTTTCACACCGCTTCTTAAATAACAATCCTTTATAAATAAAAATCGTTTTCTCCTCAACTTCCTGTAGTTTTTCGACGATAGTGACAACACGACGACGTATAAGTTGGGAACCGGATGGCTCCTCCTCCTGAATTTTCAATCTTCGAAGTGTTGCTCTGGTCCGCATAAAAATTCAGTACATCGTCGATTACACATAACAAGTGTTCAAAGAATGCGTTTGGGGCCGGTACCTCGACTTCGGGTTAACAATAATCGGATCGGTATCCGAAAACGAAAATTTGTTTTCTCATGGGAGAGTGAACTTCCAACCGGCGGCCGGAAATTCGTGCCATAGTGGTATATTTTATTATTCGAAATTTTTCCAAAAATCCCGTCGTTAACGAAAGTAAATAATCAAAGCAGCCCTGTGTTTTCCGCTCAACATCACATTTGTGCGCATAAAAACAACATGTATTGGCCCATGTGCCCAATCTGAGGTATGGATACCTGTTCAGGTTAAAAGTTGGCCTTTATTTTTACACAACTACTGGTCCCCACAAATTAGACATTTGTCTCTTCTACCTATTCATATTGCAATAAAACCAAAGTAGAAATACCTGAGATATAGAATTTCATTCCTTAGCCCGTACAAAAATCAGTAATTTTAAGTCTTTTCAGTAAATTTTAAAATCTGGTATTTTTCATGTTTTTTTCAGAGGTAGTGTTCTATTTTTCATTTTGGTTTTACCAAGTCTTGGGTATGGACAGTTCCTTTTACTCCAATGCTGTGGAGAAAACCAGAGTCTGGAACTCATTCCGACTTTCTCTTCTACCTATTCATATCCTTACTATGCGAACACCCGCTGACTGGGACTGCTTATTTCGATACTCTCCCTCAGAGCCAACTTAGTTGCTTCTCTTTGGGATGCCCGCTTATTAACAGCGGCCCACCGGGATAGGCCATTCGCTATCCGCAACCTGCGACCCGTCCGGAGGCCTTAACTAGGCCCACTCTGAGCCATATCAAAGCCCAATAGGATTATCGGAAGACCATGTACGTTACGTAAAATACACATTTACCCTGTTGGAACTGGCACCAGACCACCAATATGAGAATTTGGGTTTGAATTTATGCTTAGCCCTTCTTTCTCCAGGGTTTTCAGTGGACATTCCACCAACTAGGCACAACAAAAATAGCTTGTAACTTTTTCACTGAGAAACACTTTTCCAATCGGCGGTTTTCTCTAACCACAACTTATTTGGTCGGAAGCTACGAGAAAGCAACAGATATACTAGTTATGGTGAATATAATTAAGAATCAACACATAAATCTGTTAATATTACTACCTAACTTTCGGTTCGTTTTGTTTCCTATCTTTCCTATCCGTCAAGTACCCCTACAATACATATATGCGAGTTTTAGCGAACTCGCCGAAAACTCCTCACATTGGTCGAGCAGAGTCTGTATGGCCGCAGGTGTCCACAAAAATATCCTATCTAATGTCCGAATTGATTAAAACTATTTGTTTTAAATATTATATACATATATGACCTTTTCCTTCCTCAGAAATATTTTAGCCAGCACAATTGTTTTCTTAGATCACCTGTTTTTTGTATTCATGGCAAGACGCAGATTTACATAGGTTAAGCATATTCCAAATATTCTGTAATACAGATATCGATATAATTCTCTCGAATACACACCTAAAAGCATACACTTACAACAAAAACAACGAACAACGAACGAAGTACAGAGCAATCGGAAGCCTGTCAGCCAACAGCGTGTGCAATATCATGAATGAGTTTTGCAGAGCGTTCTTAAACGAATTTTCAGAAGAATACATGTCTACAAACTATTTCACGTCTGAGTTTTTGTGACTGAGACAATTTTGACATATCAGATGCTATTGTTGTTCTTTTTTCCCCATTTTCCTGTTTGTCATTGTTTACATTTTCGTAGTGAATTGCACTTTTTCGTTGTGAATTCAAATGTTTATGGTTGCAATTGAAAATTATCGCATAGTAACGTGCGAATTAGGAACATCCCAGATGGATGGTGGAATAACTGGTTAATTTTCGGAACGGCAAAACCTTACGGACCATCCCCGAAATGGATCATGGATGGTCGTGTGAAAAGGCTATTAGGCACTGCTGGAGCAGAACTTCGATAATTTTCATGGTTTGAAGAAGAACTTCACAAAATCAATTCCCTCTTTCGCTAATATACATTGCTTATATGATAATTTCCTTTAAATATAGAATAAAGAATTGATTGAAGTTTAATCCGGTAAAATTTGGTTATGCGAATCCAAAAAAAATCCAAATCCAATCCAAAATCGTGATTTAACTATAGCTGGTATTTGGCACAAGAGTGTTCTTAGATCGTCGAAGCATAGCTAGGAACTGGAAAGCGGAAAAAGGCGCGCCCGCC